GGGGGGACCACTCGAGTCCTCACAGTAGCTGGAGCCCCAGTAAGACAAGTATCTGCCGAGGACCTACTGTGCGTCAGACACCATCCCGGAGGGGACGATGGACTTAGCCCCTGGGCCACCCACGTTACCGAGGGCTGCCCACACACACGGGGGGCTGGGCACACAGTGGGTGCGTCACAGACACCCCTGGGTTGGCGGAATGCTGAGGACAACAGTGCGACTCACGCCCTCTGTGGTCCTGTGATGTCCTCAGACTGTAACTCGGGAAACAACTTTCTCCAGGTGATCCTGGTCCTCGCACAGTCCGCTGCGTGCATCTGGGCCAGGACAGGGGCCCTGGACCCACCTTCACAGCTGGGTGACCACAGGCAAGCGACCAAACTTCTCTGATTCTGTCTACCTCTGCAAAATGAGAACGCCCGGGGCTGTCATCCCACGGGGCTCTCTCCTGAGGCTGAAACGCAAGGAAGCTTGGGAGTGCTTCTTAGGTCAGCACGTAACAAGATTCAGCAGTTATGGGTGCAGCCTCCGCACCCACGACCGCTGTACTACACACAGCAGAGCCCGGGAGAGGAGCGGCCACAGAGCGGCTGAGGCGCTCGGGCGGTCAGGCCCCCAGAGCTCGGCGCCCAAGCCGCCTGTGAGGCCGCTGTGCCACGCCTGTGACCCTGCAGCCACGCCTCGTGCACGTGGCATCCTGGCCCTGGCACGAGGGAGCACGTGTTCGCAGGTGAGACCCAGCCCCCAGTGGCAGCCGAAGCCTCCGGGTGGAGCAAAGGCAGAGCAAGCCCGCCTGGCGAGGAGGATCTCCCCGGCTCAGTCACGGGGGAGACATGGGGTGCCCGTGCCGCACCCAGGTCTGAAAGGAAACCTGCGTGTGGGACTGGACAGAGCCAAGCAGGTGCAAGGAGGGCTCCCCGCCCCATCCAGCGAGGCCTGCCGGGCCCCCAGCCCTGTTCCCCTCGGCTGCATCCCCGGGGCCGCCTGCTCAGAGAACTCCCAACCCCACAGGACCCCGCCGGGCACCTGGCCCCTCCGAGAGCCTCCTGGTGGATCTATGGAATGGAAGCTCCCTGAGGGCAGGAAGCAGGCCTCTCTGGCCTCCGCCAGGCGCCTGGGACCTGCACACGGCCCAGCAGCCCCGTTAAGCATTCTGTGAACGGACGAAAGGGTAGGGAAGCAAAGCCGCGGCCCAGCAAGTGGGCCGTAGAGACGCAGGGCGGAGCAGCTCCACGGACAGAAACCATCCGCCTCCCCTTCCTCTCCGCGATCCAGCTGCCTCCACACCCCCAGCCCTCCCTGGCCGTCCAGCCCCCATGGCAGGCCCAGCAGGAAGGGGGACCTGCAGCCCCTCGGAGCCTTGCAGAGGCCACACTGGGTCCTGAGAACGTCCCCCTGCCCACCCAGCCCCTTCTCAAGCACGGGGACCCCACACTGTGGCCGCTCCCGTGCCGGCTCTGCCTGCCCCGTTCACTCTGGCGCCCGTCTGGGCACCCAGGCCATAGGGACAGGGCTGGCGTCGAGGCCCGGCCTGTCCCCCCAATGCAGGCTGGAAGGACAGGGGAAGAAACCGGTCAGGGCGCCCTCACGGAGCAGGCCTTGGTGACTGGGCCACATGGGAAGTGTGTTTATCGGCACTTCCCTGGGGAATGTGGGCAGATTACAGCTTTTCTCCTTCAGTGAGCCCAGAGGATGTTAATTGGTCCTGCAGGTGTGTGGAGTGTAGACAGATTACAAAGGGGGGTAGCGTCCCGAGCGTGACAACTGCTGGCTTCCCGAAGCCACCTCGGGCACTGTCTCAGCCCGCCTTGGTGCCGCCGCCGGGGTCACTGTCGCCGGCACGGTGCCTGTAAAAACTACGCAGGGCACAAAGCAACTTTGGTTAAAAAAAAATCACAAAATAAAAAAGAAACCTGCTTAAGCTTAAACACTGAAAAAGAAACAGTTGGCCGCCGTTGTTGGAATGTTTTATAAAGCAACAGCAAAATGAAAAAAATTAAAAAATAAACCGTCCCAGAGAACTGAGAGACGGCCAAAAATATTAATACCCAGGGACACGGCGAACCGCTTTCCCACGCCTGCTCAGCAGGTGTGGCGCTGCTCTCCGTCCCCTCCCTCCGCGCTTCCTGCCGGGAACCCACGCCAAAGCACCAAGAGAAAGTATTAGGGGAGCAAAGTGCGTGTGCAGAAGGGCGCATGGATTTCTCGTTTCAAATTTCAAGGGGGGCTCCGATCCCTGGACCTGAGCAAAAGAGGGAGGAGAGCGCAAACAGAGCCGGGAGACCACGAGGCTGAGCAGCGAAGCCGGCTCTGCGCCGTGCAGAGGCGTCACCTGCTGGCCCGGCACCTGCACCCGCGGAACGCACCCAGGCCGTGGCAGGCAGGTGCCTGAACTTCAGACCAACAAGAGAACCTCTTGGTTGACAGAGAGCAGAAGTGTGTCTGGGGAAGCCGGCTGTAACGGGGCGCCCTGCTGGGGAGCAGTGCGGGAGGAGGGGGAGGGGCAGGTGCTGCCCATGCTGAGTCCACAGTGGATGGAGCTCTTGGCCCAGCCGTGGGCACTTGACTTGGTGATTAAGATGCCAGTTAAGACCCGGGCGGTCCACACCAGAATCCCCGGGAAACCCCGGAGGCAGCAGAGATGGGTCTGGTAGCCGGGTCCCTGCCACCCACGTGAGAGAGCCGAGTTCTGAGCTCCCCGCTGGGGTGTGGCCCTGGGCTGACCACGCAGGCATCTGGAGGAGTAAACCAGCAATCGAGAGCACTCCCCCTCTCCACCCGGAGCCCCCTCCAAATAATTTTTCAAAGAAAATGGAAAGTTTTCTGCCCACCCTGGATCAGGGGCCACCTCCAAGGCGCAGGCATCCCCCTGCTCGGGGTTCAGCGCCGGGGCGAGTGCCCCTGGGGGACATCTGGTCTTGCACAGAGGCCACCTCGGAAAAGGCCATGCCTGGCCGCTTCTCCCAGTTCTCAGAGGTCCAGCTACTGGGAGTCGTCAGGGAGGAACTGGGGTCCTGGCTGAGTGCCAGCCATGCCAACAAGAGCCCCACAGGTGGGAGCTGAGCCCATCTCTCCGCTCACAGATGAGCGAACTGGGGCTCTGAGAGGCTAGGCAACCTATCCATCTCAGCTCAGGGCTCCGCCCATTCTGCCCTGCACCCACCCCCAGGGCGCTCCGTGCAGTCTTCCAGCACTGGCAAACTCCTGTCCATCCTTCAAAACCCAAACCACTCATCCCCTCCTCGGGGCTTTTCTGTCTCGCCCAAGGATCGCTGTGAACCACATCCTGCAGCGAGGCACTGTCACCTGCTGCGTTCACACCTGTGCCTCTCCTGGACTGAAGGCGGGCACTCGCTCTTTCCTCCCCAGCTGCCCTGCCCTCTGTCACCCCCACACCCCGATGCCCACCCTTTGCCGCCTGGGCCCCTCCCTGGGGTGCAGCACCCCTGCATTTGTTCACTTGCTTCACCGTCTGTCTTTCCCATGACTGGCGGCTCCAGGAGGGCGGGGCCGTGGTGGCTCAGCTCCGCCCATGTCCCAGTGCTCGGCACACACCTGTAGAATGAGGGACCCCACGGCGTGTGGCACGCAGGGACGGGCAGCACACAAAGTCATCATTGTACCAGAGACGTCTCAGGATCCCCCGAGGCGCAGCAGAACCTGCCCTTGCTCCCTGATGGAGCTCAGCCTTGCCAGCCGCTTGCTGCCTCCCAGGGCGCCTCCCTCCTGTCGAAGGAACGGTGAGCTCTGGAGAAAGGCCAGGAGTTGCACCTGGGCCCCACCTGCAGACCCCGGCGTGTTGTCGGCTCGGCCCCGGGCACAGTCGCTGCTCGTCCACGAGACCACTCATTCCTTCCCCGGCTGAGCAGGGGTTGGGACCACCCCAACCTTGGGCCTGGGCCAGGCGTTTCCGGCAGCCAAGCCTTTAGGACGGAGATGCCGACACAGGAGGAAGCCGCCCCAGCCCTGCTAATGCTGCATCAACGCCCAGGTCTGCTGGGGGTGCGGGCGGAGGCCCCCAGATACCCAGCTGGAGGTGAAAACCCTCCTGCCTCTCACAGCAGGGCCTTGATCACGGTCTGGGAGACAGGCGTGGGTCGGCCAAGAGGTGTGCTTCCTCTCAGCCCGAGAGACGGGGGATATCTGTGTGTCCTGCGGTTGCTGGGCCAGAAAAATGCCCCCTACCCTGCCTTGCCGGTCCCTTAGCTCTTATATCCGACCCACTTTCCATTCCAGGCCCATTACAACATGATGAAGCCAGGGGTCAGCGAGTCAATCAACAAACACAGATTGAGCACCCCCTGGTGACGGCATGAAGCAGAGGGTGGGGGTGTTGGGGTCTGCAGGTGATGCTACTGTGAATTTCATGTAGGGGCTCTTAGGGGCTGGATGCCAGCAGACACCACCTGGATTCTCCAGGGGACAGGCACGGTAGCACCGCTGGCCGCACTGGTGCAGCGGCGGAATGCAGTGTCCATCAGCCGCTGGACACGCGGGCTCCTGGCAGCGCTGTGGATGCCCCACATTGCACCTGCCCTGCAATGCCGGGTGACTCCAGGCCACAAACGTCCGTCACCTGCTGGGAACGAGGCCTCAGCGTTCACGGGGGGGGGGGGGGGGGGGGGGACCGCGGGGGCCGCTGGGGTGGGGGGGAGGGACCGCGGGAGCCGCTGGGGTGGGGGGGACCGCAGGGGCCGCTGGGGTGGGGGGGACCGCGGGGGCGCTGGGGGGGGGCTGCCCGTGCTCCGTGCCCAGGTCGCTGGTTATTGAGATGTGCTCCTTTGCCGTGACGCTCTGTGCTCCGGCAGGAGTGCACCCCGTTATTACGGGTTTATACTTTGAAAGGAGGCGAGGGGCTAGGTCTAAGGGCTTCCTGCAAAGGGGCAGGCGGACCGCGAGGTCGCACAGGGCTCCACCCTAGCCCAGGCTGACTGGGCAGACTGGGCCCTCTCTGCGCCGCCGCCCCACCCCGGCCAGGCAGGTGCGGCACCGCCTCCGCGTCCCGTGTCGTCCGGGAGACCGGTTGCCAAGCGACGCGGGACGCGGAGCCCGGGGTCCCTGAGTGCCTGGCCCAGGAGATCCCAGGCGCCATGGCACAGAAACCTCTGAGCACCGCGGCGGCTGAGCGCATGAACCTGGTGGCCCAGGACGAGATCTGGTAACACCGGGGACCCGCTGGGCTGGGCGGTCCTCCCCTGAGAGGTGCTCACCTGGCGGCTCCTGGTCCCCACGAGCCCAGAAGGTGGTGGAGCGGTGGGCTGGAGGGGCCTGCACTGAGGACGGCCCGTGCCAGGGCACCAGGGGCGCCAGGGCTGGGGACTGGACGGCCCTTCCCCGGGAGCCTCCTAACGTCCTTCTAAGAGTCCCAGATTTGCTTCAGATAGAAAATCTCAGCGTTCAGCCTGAGAGAGCTGCCAGTACCTTTGTCTCTAGGTTTTCCTGGGCGTTTAAGCCTTAAGAACTTTTGGATGTAAAAGGTGTGCGTGCGGGCTGGTGTGGCGGGCGTCTGTCTGTCGCTGAGTCTGCTAAGTGCTGGGGTCAGCCCTGGGCTGAGGCTGTAGGTGACGTGGAGACGCAGGGGCAGCTTCGCGTTAGCAGCGGCAAAACACAGTTGCCCCCTTCCAAACCTCCCCTCGCCTGTTTCCGTGCACACCAGTCCTAGTCCCTTCCCGTCCCTGTCACTTACCAAACCTGCTTTCATCACCGTCATGGTAGAAACCCAGGATCACCCGGCATAAGACACACAGACTCTGCCTCCAGGAGGCAGGACGCGTGGCCCGGGTCCGTTCCTTCTGCAGTGTCCTGCCCCCACCCCGACCTCTCCCGCTCGTCCGTCTGTCAAGACCCAGGCCCGGTGGTCCCTCCCCTCCTTGTGAACAGGGTAGCACCTGGACTGTGCCAGCCCACGTCCACGTGTGGCTTCTGACCACTCGAAATGTCCACACCGGGGTAAGCTGCAGATGTCGAATCCCCAGCAGACTTCAAAACAAATGAACGAGCCAGAAACAGACGTGCGAATTAGAATTCCCGTCCCCCGTGTGGTGTTCACCGTGTGCCTCAGGTCTGTGTTGGGAGGGGGCCGAGAGCCGCAGTGGGGCTGGAGCGCTGGGGGTGGGGACGTGCAGGTGCCGATTCCCAGGTGGAAGAAACCTGACAGGTCCAAGCGCCGAGCTGATGTTTGGACTGTGACGCCCCAGCTGCTCAGTCCTCAACCCAGGGCCTGGGTGGTCAGCACAGGGCGGGGTTGGGGCGAGGTCCCTGCTGCTCCGGGGGCACCGGACATCCGGGTCCCGGCGATGCTGACTGCCCTGGCCACGTCCATGGAGCACTCTCCCTCGCCAAGGGGCCCGGCGCCCTCACTCCCCGGCATCCGACCGTGCCCGGCACAGCGTGCATGGAGCCATGACATTCCCGCAGGGGGCCTCTGGGGCCTTCTGCGGTCCGCTGAGCCTTTCTCTGGCCTGAGCCTGCTCTCTGGGACTTTGTCTTCCAGGAGATACCGCCTGAAGGCTGAATCCGAGGCGCGGCAGAACTGGGCCCAGAACTGGGGGTTTTTAACGACCCCGCTGGAGGAGGTGAGCACAGGGGTGTGTGAGCCACACTCTGAACAGCGAGTGCTGCCGAGGTGCGGGACCGGCTAGAATAAAATGAACCAGCATCTCGTAGGCAAAGTGGCCGCCTCTGGAAACAGAAGCGAATATTGAGCACCTACTGTGTGCCTGGCACGTGCTAGGTGCTTCCGCAGAACTGGGTCACGTCACCTGCCAAAGGACCCCGTGCAGGGAAGAGGTGCTACTTTAAGCCCATTTTACAGATTAGCAAACTGAGTTCAGAAGTCACGTGACCAATCAGGGACCCAAAGGTGCGAAGCCCTGCTTCCAAGGGCACCTGAGGGCCGACTTCCCTTCCTGCCTCCCTGGGTTACTGAGATGCAGACAGAACGAGAAGCTGTGTGGACCCCTAGGGAGGCCCGCAAGGCAAGGGGTCTGGGAGGCATTGCTGGAGGCCCCCGTGGGGTCCTCTGTGCATCTGGACGTCTGTGAGAACCAGAGAAGTGACAGGGGCAGAAGGGGCCCCACCCCGTTCCCTGGGAGTGCTGGGGACTGGCAGAGTGTGCGGAGTGTATGGGTGGGGGCGGGGCAGGCAGTGCATAGGAGCTGCAGAGTCCAGGGACGCTCACGTGACGTCTCCACTAAGTGGCCCCGATGTCCACGACACTGCCCAAACACACGGAGTGCCCGGGTAGGCACCGGCACGAGGACGCCGCCTTGCTGGGGTGGGGGTCGCGGGCCTGAAGAGCCGTGTCCACCCCGCTCGCGGGAGGGCCCCCGCGTTGTGAGGCACCCCGCCCCTGCAGCTCAGAAACTGTGCCGTTCTTAATGAGTTCCTTTAATTCTTAGAGAGTTGTACAATCTGACATTTTATGCATGAAATGAGTCCCTATTAATATGCATAAAAGAGTCTGTATTAATAATCCTTGTGTGTAATTACATCGGGCTTTCAAAGAGTTCAAAATTGCTTGGAAAATTCAGGAGGGGGCATGTGGCTCTCCTTTAGGGTTTGAAAGGTCGGATCCGGAACCCGGCTGGCATTTGAAATGAGGGAGGGCGCCTCGGGCTGCAGGGGGCAGGGGCGGGAGCCGGCCTGCGCCCTTGTCCAGCTGTTAAGTGGGACCACTGCCCCCAATGTCCCGTGCCCACTTTCGTCACCGTCACGTGTGCCTTTCTGGGGGCGGGGTGATGAGAACGCCCCGGACGGCTCAGCCTGAGGCGCCCGCCCCGGTTCTTTGCAGTTGCTCCAGGGTGAGGCAGAAGCCCCCTCTCCGAAGCCCAAGGTCGAGCTTCCCGAGCGCTTCCGCATCCGCCCAGGGACGCCCGTGGAGAAATACATCAAGGTTCGCAAAGCCCTTTCTAGACACTTGTTTGCCTAAGTAAGCAGCGCGTGGGCCGTGGAAGGTAAGCGCACAGTGGGCCTGGCCGGCCTGCAGCCGCTGTCCACGCACTCCCAAGGGCAGAAGTGGGAAGTGCACCTGCACCTGCGTGGGCTCCTGCCTCCCACCCTGCAGAGGCAGAGGGACACCGAGGCACGAGGGGCCAGCCCCGCCCTCTCAGCAAACATCATGGGTAAGCAGGACAGGCTCGGGCTCTGGGGTGAAACCACCGCATCTGGGTCCTGCTCTGTCTCTCACCTCCTGTGTGATCCTGGCTGAGTGGCTTGACCTCTCTGTGCCTCCTGGGGTCAGGGTCCAGTGGGATGATGCATATGAGGGACCAGAACAGAGCCCAGCATTTTTTTGAAAGATTTATCTATTTATTTTGGAGCTGGCACTGTGGTGTAGCCGGTAAAGCCACCGCCTAGCACTGCCGGCATCCCGTATGGGTGCCGGTTTGAGTTCCAGCTGGGCCATTTTCCACTGCTTTCCCAGGCCATAGCAGAGAGCTGGACGAGAAGTGGACCAGCCGGGTCTTGAACCGGAGCCCGTTTGGGATGCTGGTACTGCCGGTGGCAGCTTCACCTGCTACACCACAGCACCAGCACCCGAGCCCAGTGTTTTTACAGACTGCAGCCATCGCTAGGTGCCAGGAGCTCAGTGGGGCTCACAGGGACGCCCCGGGAGACGGGCTGAGGGGAGGCCAGCCGAGGGCAGAGGGCAGCACAGGGAAGAGAGGACCTGAACAGCGTTGCCACGCGAGACCTGGTCAGCTGTGCACACAGCACAGGTGCCTCCAGAAATTGTCAGTCTTTATGCCAGCGGGTCCTTGCGTGGTGGGGTTGCTGGGCCAAGACATCATTGGATGGGGAACTCAGGTTCTTGTTTCCAATGCAAGAAAGAGTTTGAAGATGAGAAAACAGTAAAAGTTAGCAAAGGAATAAGACATCTGTACACAATTCAGAGGGTGGGGCATGCTCAAAGGTTCAGAGCCACCCCCTATGATCTGGAGGCACGGGAGGTGGTGTCTGGGACAGGATTTAATTGCATATTCTTGCATATTCATAGGGGGTGGAGTTTGGGAAGGGTTCAATTGAATATTCATGGAAGGTGGAGTTTAGGGCAGGGTTTGAGTATCACCCATTTCCTTAGCCTTTTCCAAAACCTGAGAAGTGTCATGGTATCAGGGCGTGACAGGAGTGGGAATGGAAGCTATGGTTATTTTATTACAATGATACTATAATTAGCTGAAGGTCACCGCAAGCCTGCAGCCGGCCGCCATATTGGTTATTTGGGGCCAGCGCTGGTTGGAAGCCGTGGTTTCACGGAAGCTGGGTTTTTGCTGCAGGGGTGGGGGGAGGTGGGTGCTGGGGCAGGGCTGCAGCGCGGGGCAGACGACCTCAGCTGCTCCTTGCCCGACACCTGCCTGCCCGCATCCCCGGGCCACGCTCTGTGCCGAGCCAAGGAGCAGGCAGTGTGGTGCTGGTGGGGAGGGGGGTGGAAAGCCAAGTTGAAGGTGGCCAGAGGCAGGGGGAGCTCGTCGCTCTCCATACGTGCCTCAGGGTCAGGTGGGGAGGCTGGCATCCGGGGAACGTTTGGTGAGCAGAAGGAATGAGTGAATCAAGAGTGAGCTGCTCCAATGAGCTGTGTTGGGGGCTCCCCCCGCCCCCGATTATAAAGCCATGTAGGGTCACTGTTAAAAGCTGTTTTAGAAATATAGCAAAAATCTAAGTAATAAGGTAGTTAAAACACCCTATGTTCTCTCCCCTGGCTGACATTTGGGGAAAGCAGCAGAAGATGGCCCAAGTGTTGGGGCCCCTGCACCCACATGGGAGACCAGGAGAAGCTCCTGGCTCCTGGCTTCGGATTGGCACAGCTCCAGCCATTGTGGCCAGTTGGGGAGTGAACCAGCGGGTGGAAGACCTCTCTCTCTCTCTCTCTCTCTCTCTGTGCAACTCTGACTTTCAAAGAAAGAAGGAAGGAAGGAAGGAAGGAAGGAAGGAAGGAAGGAAGGAAGGAAGGAAGGAAGAAGAACTGATGCCCCCCACTCTGGCCCACCTTGTGGGAGTCAAACAGGGCTTTTGCCAAAGGAGGGGGACCCGCTACACATCTGCCCTCGCTCCCCAAAAGTCCCCGTGTGCCCGAGCAGCTCACAGATGACATCGTGCACTCTCATGTCACACAGAAGCCTGCCCTCTTGGCTTCTAATTAAACGTAGGTGCTTCTCCGGCCCGCAGTCCCCTGAGGCGGAGGTGTGAGTGCACATGGCACATCCTAGCGCCCTCCCACCAGAGGACGCACGGCCACTGTTCATCCCCCGTCATCCGGTCCATACAGGGCTGCGAAGTCCTTGAACAGCCTTGTGCCTCATCCCAGTGCCTCAGCCACGAGCCACCTTGGATCGCAATGGAGCTGAAAACTTCCAATGGCCTACATGACCGCTTTAAACACAGCGTTGCTTTTTTAAGATTGAAATTTTTTTAAAAAAGATATTTATTTGAAATCAGAGTTACACAGAGAGAGAAGGAGAGGCAGAGAGAGGGAGGGAGAAAGAGAGGTCTTCCATCCGCTGGTTCACTCCCCAGTTGACCGCAATGGCCAGAGCTGCGCCAATCCAAAGCCAGGAGCCAGGAGCCAGGAGCTTCTTCTGGGTCTCCCACACGGATGCATGGGCTATTTTCTGCTGCTTTCCCAGGCCATAGCAGAGAGTTGGATTGGAAGTGGAGCAGCCGGGACTCAAACCTGCACCCACATGGGATGCCAGCACTACAGGCAGCAGCTTTACCCACTATGCCACAGCACTGGCCCCAAAGATTAAAGTTTTTAAGAGTTTGAAGTGTAGGAAGTGAAAAAGTTACAGTAAGTTAGTGTTAATTTATTATTAAAATGAAAAAAACAATATCCCTCAGATTTAGCGCAGCCTGAGCGTCGGCGTGGACAGGTGCGGCCGGCACGGTCCCATCCTGGGCCTCACGTCCCCTCCCCACTCGCAGACCGGCCCAGAGCGACTTCCAGCGCTGCCAGGCCGCTTCGTGCTGCGTGCCTGTGTGTGTCTGTAACTTTTTACCCTGCTGCTGTATTTTTGCTATGGTGAGATGTGTTCAGACACGCGGTACCACTGTGTCACGACCACCAAGGACTCGGCACAGGACCAGGCATGGAGCAGGCGTCTCACCCAGGCCTGTGTGGGCGGCCCCTGCGACGGTCACACGGGAAATGGCCCAAGGGCGCGCCCCTCGGGACTTGTTCCAATCATCATCAACCCGGGACTGTATCTGGCATTTCTGCACCTGTCCTCCTGGATGCCAAATTAGCCGGGGGCCATTACAAGAGAAAGCAGCCCCTTGGGGGGGACTAGGTCCCAGAAAGGCACCAGCCTCAGCATCCGCCGATGGGAGCAGGCTTATTCCAGCACACCCTGGGGATGCCGGCTGCCCACACTCCCGTGCCTGTCCCAGGAAGGCTGTGGCTGCGCCCACCGCTGTGGCCCGGGGGGGCTAACCTCTGCATCCCCTCCCCAGGTCCTCCCGTCTCCCCCAGTCCCGCAGACCACCCAAGGCTTCATCGGCTGGAGGTCCGGGGTGCCAGGCCTCAACAAGTGCCTGGAACTCGACTGTGAGATCAGAAGCTGCAAAGGGGCCTACGCCCGAGAGCTGGGCTGGCCCAAGCAGGGCATCCACTGAGCCGCCCAGGCTGCGGCCCCTGGGCACCCAGGCCAGGCCTGGCAGAGGAAGAACTGTCCAGCGTCCCGGATGACGGAGCCCTGGCCTGGGTGCTCATGAGATGTGGCAAAGCACACAGAGGACGCCTGACACATTCTCATCAGTGCCTCCCTTCTAGAATGTTCTCGGAACACACTTATTCTCGGCTAACATAATGAATAAAGCAAAAATAGATTCTCTGTTATACTTTTTCTCTGGTTTGTTTTTGATGTCTTGGGGATTTCTAGCTAGGGCTTTAAAGAAAATGAGTGGTTTAAGTTTTCAGATAATCATTGAGTCCCTCCCAAGGGGATTCTGTTGCCCCCAGCCCCACCCCCAGCTAGGATGACCCCCTGGCCAGGTGGTCCCGTGTCCAAACAGCCCCAGGCCTGCTTTTCAAGAGGAAGTACACAGGTGCGGGCGGGTGTGCCGTCTCCACCCTGGAACCCCTGTCTTCGAGTCACAGCCCTGAACGCTGGCCTCACTCCTCCGGCCCGTCCCTCGGGTGAACACCCCTTAGCCGCCTGCCCCCAGCAGAAGGGCCCCCCTCATCCAGAGAGACCGTCCCCAGGAGCCTCCAGTGGCAACTGGAACTTCCGGTCTCCCACCTGCACGGGGCTGGCTGCAGACACCTTCGGAGCCACACAGCAGGTGCACGGGTCCAGCCTCCCCGCCTCCCCAGTCCCAGAACAGGAAACTCGGGCCTTCGTGGGCTGCCCTGGCTGGAAGAGCCAGCACACAGGAGCACAGCGCTCCACGCAGCACCTGCCACGTGGGTCACCGTCACCAGCAAATGTCACCTCTAGGACCTCAGGAAAGGGCCGGATGGGCCAAACAGGGTTCCACAGGTCATCGCAGGTGACCGGCTATAAGGAGGTCATTACTGGAGCAGGGGGGTTCTTAAGCCACTGTGACCGATGCAAGAAGGTGGGACACTCACAGAGGAGGCTCAGACCCACAGGGGAGAAGGCCCTGTGATGTCAGAAGCAGAAACCAGAGGCATGTGTCCCTAAGCCATGAACGCCAAAACCTGCCGGCAAACCCCACAAGACTGGCAAGATGCCAGGAAGGCTTCTGCCCCACAGATCTCTCAGGGAGTGTGGCCCGGTGGACACTGACTCACGGATCTCACAGGGAGTGTGGCCCAGTGGACACTGCCCCACGAATCTCGCAGGGAGCGTGGCCTGGTGGACACTGACTCACGGATCTCACAGGGAGCGTGGCCCCATGGACACTAACTCACGGATCTCACAGGGAGTGTGGCCTGGTGGACACTAACTCATGGATCTCACAGGGAGCGTGGCCTGGTGGACACTGACTCACAGATCTCGCAGGGAGCATGGCCCAGGGGACACTGACTCACGGATCTCGCAGGGAGCGTGGCCCAGGGGACACTGACTCATGGATCTCGCAGGGAGCGTGGCCTGGTGGACACTGACTCACGGATCTCACAGGGAGCGTGGCCCAGGGGACACTGACTTGGAGAACAAGCCTCAGCCATCCACCCCTGGGCTTGGTGGGATGGACCCCGCACCGAGCAACTGCCGCCCCCTCTCCTCCCTTAGCCGCCTGCCTCTGGCCGAGTCCATGAGAGCCCAGGTCGTGAGCCCACCCCCTGCAAAGATGTTCCCGTCACCCAGCTGTTTGCTGCAGTGCAGACTCAACAAGTGGAAGCGTGGCCGAGCACGGCCCCCGTGGATGCTGGTGCTCCCATGGCCCCGGGTGGCTCCTGGTGCTCCCACGGCCCCGGTGGACACTGGTGCTCCCACGGCCCCGATGGATCCTGGTGCTCCCACGACCCCAGTGGACGCTGGTGCTCCCATGGCCCCGGGTGGACGCTGGTGCTCCCACGGCCCCGGTGGATCCTGGTGCTCCTGCGACCCCAGTGGATGCTGGTGCTCCCATGGCCTTGGGTGGACCCTGGTGCTCCCACGGCCCCGGGTGGATCCTGGTGCTCCCATGGCCCCGGTGGACGCTGGTGCTCCACCTCACAGGCTTGGCTCCAGGCAAGGCACCTGCCCTTGAAGAACCACATGTCCACCTCGTGATCAGCCTACCCTCCAACACGGTCGTGCAGAGTGGCCAGAGACAGCGAGTGCCGGGGCCCGTGTGCAGCCCACGTGGGGGGTGGCATCGCTGCAGCGCCGCAGGCCTGAGGATGAGCTGCCTGCGGCACCTGGCGTCTTTCTGATTCGTGACCACAGACGCCTCTGAGGGTCCTCTTCCAGGTGTGCCCACCACAGCAGGACAGCAAAGAAGCAGAGCTAAAGGATGAGCTCCCCCGGCCTGGCCCAGCCCAGATTGGGAATCAGCAGGGTGACGGACACTTCTCACACTCCGATTGTTCTCTGCTTCTGTAACTGTAACCGGCAGCCCAGATTTGTAGTGACAGATACTGCTGCTGGGACTGGCCAGGCTGGGGTCACCGCGTGGACTGGCCGGCCTGGGGTCACCACATGGACGGGCCAGCCTGGGGTCACCTCATGGACGGGCCAGCCTGGGGTCACCACGTGAACTGGCCAGCCTGGGGTCACCACATAGACTGGCCAGCCTGGGGTCACCACATGGACTGGCCGGGCTGGGGTCACCACATGGACTGGCCGGGCTGGGGTCACCGCGTGAACTGGCCGGGCTGGGGTCACCGCATGGACGGGTCAGCCTAGGGTCACCATGTGGACTGGCCGGCCTGGGGTCACCACGTGGACTGGCCAGCCTGGGGTCACCACATGGACTGGCCGGGCTGGGGTCACCACATGGACTGGCCGGGCTGGGGTCAACATGTGGACTGGCCAGCCTGGGGTCGCCGCGTGGACTGGCCGGGCTGGGGTCACCACGTGGACTGGCCGGGCTGGGGTCACCACGTGGACGGGCCGGGCTGGGGTCACCTCGTGGACTGGCCGGCCTGGGGTCACCACATTGACGGGCCGGGCTGGGGTCACCACATTGACGGGCCGGGCTGGGGTCACCGCGTGGACGGGCTGCACCTTCAGAAAGCCCAGAAAGCCCAGTGGTGAAGCCCTTGTCCTGCAGCTCCGTGAAGCAGAAGAGGAAGTGGGTGCATGGGTGCCCACGCCAGAGGCACCCGTGGGGAGCCTGTTCCCAGGGAGCAAGATCTTCGTGAGAGATCACTGTCAAACATGTACGCGCCTTTGGCCGCCCAGTGCAGGGTCCGTTACAATGTTAGGAGAGGGGCCGGTGCTGTGGTGTAGCGGGTAAAGCCACCGCCTGCAGCACCGACATCCCATATGGGCACTGGTTTGTGTCCCGGCTGCTCCACTTCCGATCCAGCTCTCTGCTGTGGCCTGAGGAAGCAGTGGACAATGGTCCAAGTCCTTGGGCCCTGCACCTGCGTGGCAGATGCAGAAGAAGCACCTGGCTCCTGGCTTTGGAGCAGCTCAGCTCCAGCCATTGCAGCCATGTGGGGAGTGAGTTAGCCGACGGAAGACCTCTCTCTCTGTCTCTCCCTCTCTCTGCCTGTAACTCTGCCTCTCAAATAAATAAATAAATAAATAAGTAAAATCTGAAGCGTCCAGGAGACCATCTGGCACTTCTTGCTGCCCTTCAGTGGAAGCGCAGCTCATCCGAGCTTCCGTGCCTGCGTCCAGCGCCCCCAGAACCACTTCTACCGACCACACGGCAGCGCAGCCGCCTCGGCCCCTCCGCGCTCGTCAGCACAGAACCGGGTGGAGGGCGCGGGCTGACCAACATCAGGAAACCTCATCTGCGGGTGGATTTTTCCCCGGTCTCCAGTAATTTATTCACCAACCAACCACAGAGAGAAAAGGAGGCATCGTGCCTGCCAGAGTCAGACTGCACGACCGCGGCCCCCCACCCGGCGCCCTCCCCCGGCCCCCGGCCGCGCTCTCTGCCTTGAGCTGCTAGGGTGGACGCTCTGGGCTTCTAAAGGAGCACAGAGTCCGGTCCATGGCCCAGCTGAGAGCCCAGGTGGGTGGCCCCTCGAGCAGTCAGTGACCCCGCTTGGTTTCAAAGTTGACATTTAATCTATGGAGATCTGCCCTTTGTGGGCGTCCAAACGGGCCCAGAAATGCCACCACACGGTGTAAAATACCACAACATTCCCAAGGTCAAGACGAGGCTGTGAACCTGCCCCACGGTGGCGAACCACATCACAGCAGCAAAATGAGCCACCGGAAGGGCCCTGGCCAGGGGAGCGGCCGCAGGGACAGCGCACGACGTCCGCAGGACGGATTCTGTCACACGCACGTTTGAGCCCCGACAAACGAGACTCACCAGAAGGGAATGAGGGACAGCTGTACAGAGCCAACAGGAAGCGTGGCTCCTGTTCTTGCACACTGGACACAGTGGCCGTGCCAGGCCACGTGCACCAGCCTGCTCAGGAATGGAGGCCCAGGTGCCTGTGGGAGGCACAGGTCCTGCACATTACATCACCCCCAGCAAGGTCTGGGAAGCCCCACGCGATGAACCCATTATTGCTTTGTAGCAAGACTTCCGAATTCTCACACTAAAGGGGAGACAGACCCCAAGAAACCACACTATTGATTTGGTTTGGATTTTGCCGCCGAATGAGCCTTGGTTTTAACCTAAGAATATTTCTGGGTTTTGGAGCATCTTGGGATTTGGACCTGAGAAAGCATTTTGTACATAAAACGTCTCCATCACAGCAAATGGGAGGAGTGGTCCTTTGGGACCTGCCTGTAACTCACGGACTTAAGTAGGGAGCAGACTCCACGCGAGCTGGCCAGAGCGTGAGAGGACGCGTTGACTCCTGTACCTGGGAGCAGCCTGCACCTGCTGCCTGTGGTGGCATGGCTGCAAGGCCACCTCACCGGGCTTTCGTTTCAGGAGACACTGGCGTGTTTATAAACGGCGTTCTGATTAAAGTCAGATGAGGACTCTGGGCCAAGCCCGAGCCTGGAATCCCAGGCACTCGGAGAGGGCAGCTTGTGCCCCCTGAGAAATTAGGCTCGAACGCGAGCAACCGGCGCCTGTACGTTCGTGCCGGGGTGTGGTGGACTGACTCGCCGTGCAGGACGTGAACCCTGCTGTTCCGTGGATGCCGTTCCTGCGAGGATGCGCAGGGAATGCTGAGCTGGGAGCCACGGGGAGCCGGCGTGCTGCATGGCAGGTGCACTGGCCGCAGCCAGAGCCTGCCCTGGGGCGCCCTGCAGAAGCAGTGCATGGCAGGGCTGAGGCAGGGCCGGTGCCCCTGGAAAGAGACAGCCA